GCATGTTGCATTACAACCTGTAACTTAAATTGATTTTTATTTGGATTTCATGTAATGGAAATACACAAAATAGTCCAAATTGGTGATGTGGAATGAAAAAAATAACTTGCTTAAAAAAATTATAAAAAATTAATAACGGAAAAGTGGTGCGTGCATATGTATACACCCCCTTTGCTATGAAGCCCCTAAATAAGATCTGGTGCAACCAATTACCTTCAGAAGTCACATAATTAGTTAAATAAAGTCCACCTGTGTGCAATCTAAGTGTCACATGATCTGTCACATGATCTCAGTATATATACACCTGTTCTGAAAGGCCCCAGAATCTGCAACACCTCTAAGCAAGGAGCACCACCAAGCAAGCGGCACCATGAAGACTAAGAAGCTCTCCAAACAGGTCAAGGACAAAGTTGTGGAGAAGTACAGATCAGGGTTGGGTTATAAAAAAATATCAGAAACTTTGAACATTCCACGGAGAACCATTCAATCCATTATTAAAAAAATAGAAAGAATATGGCACAACAACAAACCTGGCAAGAGAGGGCCGCCCACCAAAACTCATGGACCAGGCAAGGAGGGCATTAATCAGAGAGGCAACATAGACACCAAAGGTAACCCTGAAGGAGCTGCAAAGCTCCACAGCGGAGATTGGAGTATATGTCCATAGGATCACTTTAAGCCGTACACTCCACAGAGGTAGGCTTTACGGAAGAGTGGCCAGAAAAGAGCCATTGCTTAAAGAAAAAAATAAGCAAACATGTTTGGTGTTCGCCAAAAGCCATGTGGGAGAATTTAGCATACTGCTAAAGCAACACTCGAGTGGTTTAAGGGGAAACATGTCAATGTCTTGGAATGGCCTAGTCAAAGTCCAGACCTCAATCCAATTGAGAATATGTGGTATGACTTAAAGATTGCTGTACACCAGCAGAACCCATCCAACTTGAAGGAGCTGGAGCAGTTTTGCCTTGAAGAATGGGCAAAAATCCCAGTGGCTAGATGTGCCAAGCTTATAGAGACACCCCAAGAGACTTGCAGCTGTAATTGATGCAAAAGGTGGCTCTACAAAGTATTGACTTTGGGGGGGGTGAATAGTTATGCACGCTCAAGTTTTCAATTTGTTTGTCTTATTTCTTATTTGTTTCACAATTAAAAATATTTTGCATCTTCAAAGTGGTAGGCATGTTGTGTAAATCAAATTATACAAACCCCCAAAAAATCAGTTTTAATTCCAGGTTGTAAGACAACAAAATAGGAAAAATGCCAAGGGGGGTGAATACTTTCGCAAGCCACTGTAGTTCTTCATAGACTTCATTGTTATTGAGTTATGACAATTAAAAGTGGTTTTCCGAACCTTCGTACTACAGAAAATGATGGAATGATCACTGAGCCCATAGTTTACAACCCCCCTGTTTGATATCGTTGATCTATCCGACACCAACACGAGGTCAATGATGGTTTGGGTAGAAGGACAGACCATAGTGGGCTCATTAATCAGCTGGTGTAAAGCAAACCGATTACAAAAATTCTTAAGAGCTTTAAAAGTAGCATTGTCCTTTTAGAGCATCTGTTTTAAAATTAAAATAACCATTAACAATAACCTCAGATGTACCTAAATATGTACAGTTGGCGCAAGTCTCCTCCAAAATTCATAAAACTTGTACTGGTCTGGTGGTCTGTAACAGGTTCCGACTATAATGGGTTTGCATTTTGGTAATAGAATGTCCACCACACAGCTTCAATCTCATCATGGCTTAAATCTGATTTATAGTTGAACCCAATATCTGATGTTACATAAATACAAACTCCCCCGCCTTTGTGATTGCGGTCTCTTCTAATTACTACATAATTTTCAGCTTCAATCTCAGCATTTTTTATCAAAGCCATGTTTGGGTAAAGCAAAGCACTCCCACCTTACAGTTACTGGAGAGTAGGCACATTTCCTCGATCTTAGGAAGAAGGTATCTAACGTTGAGATGAAGGATGTGTAGTCATCTTGTGGAAAACACCTTTTCTAGCCCTTTTGGAGGGACTCTGCCAGCTGGGATATTTGAACGTGTTAAATAGGGTGTATTTTTTCCGTGGCCAAAATGCTTAGTGCCAATCTGGCCCAATCTTCTGATTAAAACCACATACCTTGTCGAAAGGACATTGACTTGATGTACAAAAAGGGCCAGTATCTATAAACCTTTATATAAAAAAAATTAATTTAAAAACGCTGCCAACACGCCAAACTTTCCAGCTGCCATCTTGGATGTTGATCATGTATGTCCAGACTTATAGACTTATAGATATGTTTGGTCTGTATAGCCAATGACCACATGAGTTGGCTGTACAGCACCATAACAGATCTGGGACCAGGCTATAAATTCACCACCATTTGAAATTTTTTTAACAAATTCAATGTGATGTTTAGGCTTTGCATTTGATATATCTAAGCAAGTATTAGCCTCACCTACATTACAGGTGTTGAGTGACAGGTGTATAGACATGCTTGCAATTTTCAACTTTGCCACATGGGGTCACTACAATACAAATGAAAGTCAGCTACCGGTCTAACTGTGGTCTATATACAGCACATCATGCCCTGTAAAGGTGTCTGCATCACAGGAGGCTGGTGGCACCTTAATTGGTGAGGATGGGCTCATGGTAACGGCTGGAACGGAATAAGTGGAATGGTATCAAATACATCCAACACATGGTTTCCATGTGTTTGATGCCATTCCATTCGCTCTGTTCCAGCCATTAATATGAGCCGTCCTCCCCTAAGCAGCCTCCTGTGGTCTGCATATTAGGTTCCCTTGAAAAACGAGAAAAAAGCGGCAATAGTACTGTTTGTCCACCTTGAGACGACGTAGCCAGTATACACTTCCTCAAAATAGTCTGAATTAATCTAAGATAACTCAATAGATGTGTCATTAATGTTGATGTTTTTGCCGAGGAGATCTTAGTCGCACAATTTTACATCTAACTAAGATGTTTGGTGCAGTACTTCTCAATGAAAAAAAGTGCATGAAAAGGAGTCGTCTGTCGTTGAATGACAACAAAGACTTTACTGAAGAATCTCAATCACCGACGAAGGGGCGTAGACTTCTGCTATCGAACTTTGGCTCACCTCGAGAAAAATGTTGTGCACGAACAGCCGGGAAAAAAACCTTGCCAAATACCAAAACGAACGGAAATGTCACAAAATGGCGTCATAATATATGCACAAACTGTTCTGAACTGTTTCCGGTGGGAAGCATGTAGACGCCTTAAGAGTACCACAAACCATGGTATGCTAGCCAACCCAAAGGATAACACATGGGTGATATTGTTTTGTTGCCCTACAACCTAATAAAAGCTGAGTCCTGTCCACAACCACTTTACACTTCAGGCATAATACACTCATGATAAGGAATGCTATCCGATCAATTAAACAAAAACACCTTAAAAGCTGCTAATGTATTCAAAGCCACGCTTCTAACTATAATGTCAATAATACACGCCCAATCAATCAAACCCACGACATTAGATATTATTACTTTTTTTATATTCTCCCTCAAAATATATTTTCTGCTTATTAGTATGTAACTTAAATGGGGCGGCAGGTAGACTAGCAGTTAAGAACAGTTTACTTTCATGCAGAAAGCATAAGTCCATGTATTGTCAGTATAACAACAAACAGTCCCTCTCTCAAATTTCACATTAAGTGCCGGGTCCTTATACATTAAGTGTGTCAGAGTCGGAGTATAGATCTAGGATCATAATGAATAAGATGACATGAACATGGGGGAACTGATACTAGATCAGCACTCCTACTCTGAGACTGCTCTGAATTCAATCCACTGTGATCAGTCTACCAAGTATTTATAGTCCATGGCCACTAGGTGGCAGCATTTAGTCATATTTCTCTAAGCAGCAGAAACCATGCTGGAATATACTAGTGTTTGACCACTTCTTTGTACATGTTAGTAATAATATTTAGGAACATATTTGTAATCTATGTATTCCTCCAGTGCTGCCAGTGTGCGTACTTAAAGGGAAGTTAAATTAAAGATCACATAGAGAGATTAATTAAAACAGCAGGGTTGCATGGCACCCTATTCCCTATATAGTGTTCATAGGGCTCTGGTCAAAAGTAGTACACTAAATAGGACATAGGGTTATATTTGGGACGCAAACAAATTATCCTCCCCCCTCACACAATACTGTACATTGACTTATCTGCTGAGGTGGCATTTTTTTCACTTGTGAATGACCTGCCTCAGAATAATCCTTTGATTAAATAGTGATATTTGAAAATGCTCAGACCTACGCAGGTGAATTAAGTCATCTGTTGAAGTTACTGTTAATAATATCATCACAAAGAAAATAACAGACAATATGCAATATGTATGTGATGGTATTGTTGGGGAATCAAAATACTGAAGAGATGAATATGGGAAAGTCAGTCACACACAGCTGAGGTGGGAAACGAAAGTGTGTGTGTGTGTGTCTGTGTGTGTTGTGCGTGTGTGTGTGTGTGTGTGTCTGTCTGTGTGTCTGCGTTAGTGTTTGTGTGCTTATGTGACTCTCTCTCCCTTCGCAAATGTCAGTTGAATAATTTATGGTCTGATATAATTGTCGGCTGTGGTTGCAGGTAGCGCTTTATCATGTTGTATGTAATTAAAAGGGCGTCCAAAAATAAATTGTGAAAGCAGAGGCAACAGAGACACCCCAAGCAGTTTGTTGAAAAAGAAGGCAAAAGTCTCTCTGAATTCATATCATTCAAGGCTTTGGGGAAGTGGGATGACGGATGGTGAGAGTATATCAGTGGATGGTTTCAGTGGTAATGTTAGTCAGTGGCATTCACTGTTCTGTCTCTCTGTGAAAGCCCATGGGTGTACAGTAGAGTAGAGTAGATCAAGTGTAAAGTACTCTGTACAACTGTCAAACACTCAAACGTATTCACCTCAAAAGTGTCCGTTTCAAAGACGCTTTGCCAGAACGGTTGCCCTTTTGGAGAACACATGGAGACAAAGCTAATACTTGTGATGTCGCCACAGAGCACAGAGGAGGCCGTGGTTATCAAAGAGAGGAAGGGAAGGAAACAGAACCCACTGCCTGGGACCCACCTGGGCACAGCCTTAGAAATACACCACAGCCAGACTCAGAGTCTTGCAGACTCCATAGAACTCCATACAACGCTTCCGACTTCATCATGGGGCTGGGGAGAGCGAAAGAGCGGAATAGGTTCTGGTACTCACGTCAAACTCGTTGAGGGCCGCAGCCAGCTCGCCGATGCCAGCGTGGCCGTGTTTCTCGTCGCCAGGCGAGGTGGCCTGGGCGGCGCTGCTGATGCCCCCGATGGCCTCCTGCACCTGCTTGAAGACGTAGTCGCGGTTGGCGCGCGTGGCCGCCACGTCTGGGTGGCGCAGGAAGGCCTGCGAGGCCGTGTAGAGCATGGTGGCGTTCTTCTTCAGGGCGCCGCGCGCCGCCGCCATTTCGTCCCGGCACTGGGGGTCTTTCAGCTCCTGAAGACGAGACGGGAAGTTAAGAAATGTTATATACTGGTCAGGAAATGCTATATACTGGTTAGGAAATGTTGTTTACTGTTTAGGAAATGTATACAGTTTAGAAAATGTATACTGTTTAGGAAATGTTATATATTGGCTAGAAAATGTTATGTTTAGGAAATGTTATATACTGGTTAGGAAATGTATACTGTTTAGGAAATGTTATACACTGAGTATACAAAACATTAAGGATACCTGCTCTTTCCATGACATAGACTGACCAGGTGAAGCCAGGTGAAAGCTATGATCCCCTATTGATGTCACTTGTTAAATCCACTTAAATCAGTGTAGATCAAGGGGCGGAGACAGGTTAAAGAAGGATTCTTAAGCCTTGAGATAATTGAGACATGGATTGTGTATGTGTGCCATTCAGAGGATGAATGGGCAAGACAAAATATTTAAGTCCCTTTGAACGGGGTATGGTAGTAGGTGCCAGGCGCACCGGTTTGTGTCAAGAACTGCAATGCTGCTGGGTTTTTCATGCTCAACAGTTTCCTGTGTGTATCAAGAATGGTCCACCACCCATTGGACATCCAGCCAACTTGACACAACTGTAGGAAGCATTGGACTCAACATGGGCCAGCATCCCTGTGGAACGCTTTCGACACCTTGTAGAGTCCATGTCCCGACGAATTGAGGCTATTCTGAGGGCAAAATGGGGGGGGGGGGGCAAACTCAATATTAGAAAGGTGTTCCTAATGTTTGGTTAGGAAAGGTTGTATACTGTTTAGGAAATGTTATATACTGGTTAGGAAATGTTATATTGCTTAGGAAATGTTGTATACTTGTTAGGACATGCTACGTATATACAGACCAGACCTCAGCACAGGTTATATAGTAAACCTGCATAATTTTACTAACATACAAAACTTATTTGACTTTTGTTTTGTAGCAGGATTGGAATTGATCTGAAAAGTTAGAGGCACTGTAACTTTGTTCGAAGGGTACTGCCACTTTGTTTGAAATCATTTCGAGAGGATATGAATTCTGGTCTGACTCTCGAGATACTATCCAAACTAAGGCTAAATATTTCATTAAACACACTCAAATGAATCATCACATACCATTATTGTGGGCATAAGATATGTGTTGATTGAAAGTTCAACCTTGAGGCTTTTGATTATATGAGCTTTATTCAATATGTCTACTCGTATTCTATTCAAACACCATAAAGCCTTGATAGGCAGACCTGCTTGATATAAAGAAATATAATTTGTGTCAAGCCAGTCCCCTTGAAGAGTGCACCTTGCGTGACCCAACAGTTCCACTGAGTGTATAACACATTACTTATTACAGATTTCCTGTCAAAACACTAAATATGCAGAGTTCTCACTTAACACTTCAGATTTAATTCTAAGAAAGGTAAAATGCATTCCCTGAAACATGTACCACCAAAAAATACCCAAACTTAGTGGAGCTTTAAGAAAGCACTCAAAGACATTAATAATTTCCTCTGAATTCTAAATTATTATTCCATGGTGATGTTTAAGAGGCATTACCAGGGACGTAGAGATGTGAGTCAATCATCCGAGAGATGGCAGTTCAACTCTTTCAGCATGTGTCCCAAATCACACCATATTCCCTATATAATGCACTACTTTTGACCAGAGCTCTATGGGCCCTGCTCAAAAGTAGTGTGCCATTTGAGACGCAGCCTCAGTCATTCCTCAGTCAGAAATGGTGTGCTATGGCACAGTCACGACTCTACGGATACAGCTCAGCTTTTAAACGTGTTTTTGGAGAACGCGTTCAGTTATGACCGAGAGCACAGCTTGGTGTTAGAAGCAGAGTTGTTTCCCTCTCCCTAGGCTGGCTATAGAGACAGCGGTGTGATGTAGTGTCATGACAGAGATTGTGTCTGCTTGCTCTGTGTGTGTCCGTGTGCACGTATGTGCTTGAGTGCCTGCGTGTGATGTACTGCTATGATAGAGAATCAGTGTTCTCGCTGTGTCTTGGTAAGAGCCGAAGGGCTCTCTATCTCTATCTGTTTTTAATGTGTCTGCCTCGCTACTGGTTTCTCTTTACAGTTCCCCTGGCTGGATCTGATCGTCTTCAGGTTTAACACATCACTGAGGGTTAGAGGGGATAATGGTGCTGGAGGTACAGGTGTGTGTGTGTGTGTGTGTGTGTGTGTGTGTGTGTGTGTGTGTGTGTGTGTGTGTGTGTGTGTGTGTGTGTGTGTGTGTGTGTGTGTGTGTGTGTGTGTGTGTGTGTGTGTGAGCAGTCTCCCGCAAAGCTTGGTTTCCCGTTTATCTGTGATACAAGCTCAAGGAGCCAGGTGTGGAATATGACGTATTTGACAATTACCTGTAGTGTGAGTGTGTTTGTGTTACCTGCTGTCTGCGGGCGGCCACATAGTTGAGCTTCACCATCTCCTTGCCAAACTCTTTGAAGCGGTTGGCCAGGTCCTGCTCGTTGGTGGCATTCTTCACTGCCTCCAGGGCCTCCTCCACCTGTCAGACACACAAACACGTACGTGCATACACAGAAACACACACACACAGAGATGGAAACACAGAGACACAAATATTTAAAATAAGTAAAATGTTTATGGACATAGCTACCCTCTGTACCTTAAGGCTTTCCATTAAGTATTTTCCGAGGTGTAAAATTGTAAATAGTGGCTACTTCTCAGAGAGTTTTGAATTGTCAAGGGGAGTTAAACAAGGGCGTCCACTGTCACCATATCTATTCGTTATGGCCATCAAAATGCTAGCTATTAAAATCAGATCAAATAACAACATTAGAGGATTAGAAATCCAAGGCTTAAAAACAAAGGTGTCCATGTATGCCAATGACTCAAGTTTTATATTGGAATTATTTGATTTTTCTGTTGGGGACTGTCGGGGTGGGGGGGGGGGGGGGGGGGGGTGGGTTCTCGGATGGTTGAGGGGCAGCTCTTGGGGAACTGTGGGGGGGATCTTGGAGGGCTGATGGCCTGGCGGTTGGGAGCTTGGGCTGGTGGCTGATGGGTCGCTGGTTTGGGTCCCCGTTTTTGACCTTATGGGAGATCTGTTGACGTGCCCTTGAGCGGGGCGTTGACCCTGGTTGCTTCAGTGGGTCGCTCTGGATGGGAGTCTGTTAGATGACTAATGTGATGTAAATGTTGAGCGGCTTCACTGCATGTTAATTTTATATTTTAAATATTCAAACAAAAATTATTTTATAATGATAATAATATTTTTTCATTAAGAGACAAAACTTCAGCTACAGATGTAGGATCTTAATTTGAGCCAGTTTGCTACAGCAGGAAAACAATCCTGCAGCAACAGGAAATGTGAATTATTATGTGGATTATAATTAATTGACAGTTGTTGATAATTAGATACTTTTTTTGATAGGAATTTTTTTTTCACATAATAATTTCACACTACAAGTTTTAGTACTCCTGCAACAGGGTTCTTTGTAATTGCTACCAGAACAATTTTTTATTTTATTGTTTTGTGGCCATTAACTTGTGTACGTTTTTTTTTTTATGGTCTCCTTATAGCGATCCTCATCCCTGTATGTGCATTCTTATTCTAAACGAATTTCTGTAGCCGTTATGAAAGTGCAGACAGACGCTGTATTGAAAAGAGAAAAATAGAGAGAAGAAAGAGAAAAATAGAGAGAAGGAGAGAGCGAGAGAGAGATAACTTGTAAGTGGCCTTTGATGGCGAAGCTTAGGCACAGACTGGAGTTAAGCCCCCTCTCGGCTCCCGGGGAACCCAAACGTTCCAGAAGATGAACTATCTGAGTGTGTGTGTGTTTGTGTGTGTGTGCATGCATGCGTGCATATGTGCATGTGTGTGTGTGCCTGCATGTGTGTGTGTAAGTCTGGGCAATTATTAAGCCCAAATCCTAACTTGTGATCTGCATGTGTCCTGTAAACATATAGGCTTAATAACACTTCTATCCAAGCGGTGTGACATGCACAGTACGTGTGGTTAATAACTCCTTGTTCAGTATAGCGGGTATCCATCAGTGGGCTCTGATATCACATGCTTGTGCATGCATCCGTGTGAATGTGTGTGTGTGTGTGTGTGTGCAAGCTCCAGCACATGTGTGTGTGCTCTACTACTGAGGTGCTGGCTCATCTATATGCTAATGTGGGGCCCGGGTAGAAGGTAGAGCTCCCAGGGATCAGTAGTGATCAGTGGCTATGGATTAGAGCAGGGCATGCTGGGATATCCTGGGGAGGGGATGGGACAGGACAGAGGGACGTTACTCACTGAAGGTGTCCAAAAATTGATACAGTGTCCTTCCACATACTAGGTGACGAGAGAAGATGTATCCTGGATGCGTCCAAAATGGCACACTATTCTCTATTTAGTGCACTACTCTGACCAGGGCCCATGACAAAGAGCACAGGGTGACTCTAGCGTACTTACTGAAGGTGCTGACTATTCTGTAGCCTGACTATGTATGTATGTCCCTGTGGCTCACCAAAGGGCATATGAAAGCCCTTGTGTTTTTATACGATTTACAGCTACCTCGCTCTTTCACATACAGTAGGGGAAGGGAGAGGTGTGTGTATGTGTGTGGGATTTGGTACAGTAGTGGTTGGCTCACCCTGAAACTCTATGGGGGTTGGGTGTGTGTGTGTGTGTGTGTGTGTGCGCTTGTGCATGTGTACATGTGTGTGCGCGTGAGAGTTTGTGTGAGTGTGTGTAGGAAGGTGTCCTGCTGGGTCTATCTACAAAGGCCAGCTGACTTTGTAGCTGGTAGGGGAGCCTCTCTGTGGCACGTTTAAAGATATGCAGACTAACCGACAGCAACTTCAAACAACCTTTTCAAAGGCCAACGTCGTTCACAGTGTTCGAATAAAAGTTAGGAGGTTACTCGAGAGTAACTTTGTCAGACTTTGTATGATAGCGTCCTAGACCAAGGTTTGTACTCAGATGCAACTTAGGTGCTTAATCAAACCATTGGAAGCATGGGGTGACAATCACAGAGGTTTGAAATGACTATGAGTTACGTACGATTTTGAGGTGGGCCAGCAGCCTCATGACGTCAGCCATGTCGGCGAGGATGAGCAGGCGGGTGACGGCGGAGAGCAGGGCGCGGGCAGCCCTCACCATGGTGCCGCGCTTCACTGAGGAGCAAGGGTCGTCAGCAAACTCCTGGGAGGCCACGCGCATTGAATCACCTGCAGAGGGGGATCAGAGTGAGACAGAGAGAGAGAGAGAGAAAGAGAGAGAGAGAGAGAGAGCGAAAGAGAGTGAGTGAGAGTATTATTATTATGGTTGTTTGACTGCGAGTATTTGATGAAATGCACGCAGCATCATAACTTGAGATCTCTGAAACATTCTGTGCATAGCAGTGCATTTATGAGTGCATCCGATGCAGATTAGGGGAGACGGGGGCTATACCGGAGATATAGGCTACTGAATAGAACCTATTCACGTCGCAGTGAGAGTGGCTATTGCGCTGTTTCCTCCCGCATGTTGTAGGAAGACCAAAGCAAAAGTAATATGAGGATTGGGACACACAAGTGATGCTTCATAATAATCATCATGCTCATTTTTGTGAGCATTTTTGTCCAATAAACAAATGACTTCCATGGACATGTGGTTTTGTTTTGGAATTTTAGTTTGTTTGGCATTTTGTACAATGTAAAATTTTGTTTGTGTTATTTTACTAGGAAAGTCAATTAAGAACAAATTCTTATTTACAATGACGGCCTACACCAGCCAAACCCGGACGACGCCGCCCTATGGGACTCCCAATCACGGCCAGTTGTGATACAGCCTGGAATTGAACCAGGTGGTCTGTAGTGACGCCTCAAGCACTGAGATGCAGCGCCTTAGACTGCTGTGCCACTCGGGAGCCCTCTGAATAGTCGACTTCTAACTATTGACTCAGGGGGTTGAATACTTATCTAATCAAGATATATTAGTGTTTAATTTGTCAAAATGACAATTAAATCCATTTTAATCCCACTTTGTAACAAACCAAATGTAGAAAAAGTAAAGGGGTGTGAATACTTTCTGAAGGCACTGTATTCCCATGTATCTACACCAGTATTTACGTGTTGTATTGTACATGTTTAGTAGTACGTGTACACTTCCTGGCCTGTACCTCTCTCCGTGTGTGCAGTGTGTCGCAATCTTAATCTACATTACATCAACGCGGTAGGAAACCAGCGGACCATTTTGTTTCTTCCTGAGTGGTGGTAGTGAGCTGAAAAGTTCCCTGTTGGTTGCACAGCGGTAGCCTCCTCCTGCATGGCCCACACAACCACACAACCACAGGAGGCCGGAGGTGGTAATGCCGTAACCCAGGAAACCATGTGGAATCCATAGAGAGAACAGAGAGCAGAGGAAAATGAGTTGTGTTTGTGTGTTCCCTTTATCACGCTGTATCTGTACATCGTATGTGTCTGCCTTAGAGAACAAGTATTCTGTATGACAGTTAAAATGCAATCCAGCTTGGTTCATGGAAGAGGAAGCCATAGTATAGTCCTAGACAAAGTGCAGTTATTTCAGCTGGCACTAGTGGTATAATATCCTACAGTGGCTCCCATGTAAACCCCAGTCTGTGGATCTAGACAGGTAATCAGGAGTCACCTCAGACTAGCCTGATCCCTGATCTGTTTGTGCTGTCTTGCCAACTCTAATTGTCATTGTCACACCAGCACAAACAGATATGGGAACAGGCTAACCTCAGACAGAGCAGAGCTTTAGTCTCACTAGGGAATGCTCTCTCTGTCTGAGGCCTTCTCATTCATAAACCACAGACTGATTACATTGACTGTCTCCCCTTAAAGCCCAAGGGGGGCATCAGTGGCTTATGTCACCTGATTAAAACTACAGATACATCCATAGATCATACACAGAGAAGCAAGCACACACACACACACACACACAGACTTGTAAGTGAGCCATCATAACTCATCCTTCCAGGCCGGTGACGAGGCAGGCAGTGTGTTTGTGTGTGTGAGTGTGCGTGTGCATGTGTGCGATCAAGCGTGTGACAGTTTAGTGGGCTTAGTGAATCCCCGCAGTCTGAAATCAGCATCCAGAATTTAATCAGGAGGAGATGAGAGGCGATAGAGAAGACGATTGGATGATAGGACTCAGAGGGTTATAGACAAGATTATAGGTTTGATGTGGGCTCGGGCTGCACACTGTTACAATAAACTTTAGCTTAAAGGCTTTATTGGCAAGGACGTCTCTTTCCACACAGTACTCCTGATGGCTCCTGTTCCATTTGTCAGTCTGAATTCTCCATTAATACAGAGTGAGAACATTAACTATCTTTTCACTTTTTCTCCAGACGCAAAACAAATAAAATGTCACTATGATCTTCAGGCAGTGTGGGCCCAAAGTGGGTGAACTGGAAGTGGGCGTTCAGTTTAAAGGCTCCATGTATGGTAGTTCTTGACACTGTTCCTCATGACTATATAACTTAAAAAGACACAAACAAATGTACATTCAAAGTAGTGGTTGATCATTCAATAAAGGACTGTTATTGTTATGAATGAGCCATCGAATAGAGAATCAGACACCATTTACAACTCTAATCTCTTAAAATAGTGCCCTGTCAGTGTCAGCAATACACTCACTCCCCTCTCTCACTGTCTGCATCCCAAATGGCACTCTATTCCCTTTATAGTGCACTACTTTTGACCAGGGCACATTTGGGACACATACAACCTTCTGTATGCTACACCCTTATAATGGGACTTAATGGGATGTGGATTGTGGAGATTTACGTTCCCCCCACTGGGGTGTGACTGGGTCTGCTGTCCTGTCCAATAGCTCAAGGTCAGCTGGCTAGTTCTTCCTTGTCCTATTCGCAGCTGGGGATTCAGTCTGATTGATTTGTTTTCTCATGAGGAGAGAGCTTTCCCATTAACAGTGAAAGGTTAACCGTGAACACACACATAAATACTAAAGGGACACACGCACACATACAGTGCCTTGCAAAAGTATTCAGACCCCTTGGATTTCTTCACATTTTATTGTTACGAAATGTTTTTCAAATGTAATTGTTGTTGTATTTTTTTTTTTTACCCCCTTTTTCTCCCCAATTTTGTGATATCCAATTGCGATCTTGTCTCATCGCTGCAACTCCCCAACAGGCTCGGGAGAGGCGAAGGTCGAGTCATGCTGTCACGTCTCCTCCCGTTGCTCCCCTCCGGCACTCTGATTCGCCGGTCTACTGAGCCACCGGTCTGAGCGCACCACCTCGGCAACACCGGAATGGAAACCCAACGCACCCTGATCACCTCCAGCGCACCTGCACCTCATCATCTCATCACCACACCTATATAGCCCTGGACTGTTCAGTGTTGTGTTGTGTGTGATTGTTAGTGTCTTGTCGTGTACTCGCTCTTTGTTGTTCTCTTGCTCAGTGTTAAGTAAACCTTTACATTGTTGATTCCTGCTTCTTCGTATCCTCAGTACTCGTCACAGAATCACACACCAATCACGAATATGGATGCAGCAGGTAATCCTCCTGGAGTTTCCAAGCGCCTCGACCAGCACCAGCAGCAGATTGCCCAGCTGAACGCCGCCATGCAGGAAGTGCTCCAAACGCTGCATAAACTGACCATCGCTCCGGTTCCACCTCAGGGAGTGGCACCCTGCCGGAGCGCTATGACGGGAAAATGAAGAAATATAGAGGCTTCCTGCTACAGGTTTCACTGTATAGCGCTGGTGATTTCACTACTGAAGGGAAAGGTGCTGGATTGAGGCGTCGGCGCTTCCCTACTCCACCTTCCTCGCTTGGTTCAGGGCGGTGTTCGATCATCCCACGGAGGGAAAGGACAGGGGTGAGTGTCTCCTCTGGCTACAACAGGGAGAGGGGGCCGCATTCGAGTACGCCCTGAGTTCTCGCACGGTGGCGGCGTCTTCAGGCTGGAATGAGCGTGCTCTGCGCACAGCCTTCAGGAGAGGCTTACGGGAGGACATCACGACGGAACTCGCATGTCGGGGCGACGAGATGGACCTTGATACCGTCATCGCCACATCCATTCGTCTTAACGACATGTTGAGAGACCAATGGCGTTCCCAACACCTCCTGGAGCCTTGAAGCTCACTCCATCTGAGCTATAGAAGCCGCTCTGCCTCCGAGTCCTCACCCATGGAGGTGGGCAGCACCCCCTACACCACCACGGACCACAGATTTCCTGGCGGCTCCCTATCTTGGCGGTATGACTCCCATCGCCGCTCCATGAGTGTTCCGTCATCACCTGTCACCAAACAATTGTTTTTAGTTCCCCTAACGGTGAATGGTTCTTCCTTCTCTTCGCTTTCCACAGCAATGATAGATTCCGGATCGGTGGGGAACCTTATAGATAGGGAGCTGGTCTCTGAATGGGGGTTGCCCACCGTGCCACTGCCTTCTCCGCTACACGTCACCTCGCTGGACAATAAACCACTTGGATCAGGCACCAATACACACGTCACTCTCCCCATTACCATCACCATTCTCACACTACCGGAGCACCACGAGGAGCTGTCCTTCTACATCGTCACGTCACCCCTTCACCGGATTGTCTTGGAATTGCCCTGGCTCAGACTACACAACCCCACCATCAACTGGATCACCAAGAGGATCACAGCCTGGTCCCCCTCATGCCGGAGGACCTGCCTGCCGGTGGTTTGTTGTTCCTCGTCAGTGGAGAGTCCGGAGTGCGCCCTCCAGCCCAATATTCCACGTGAGTACGCAGATCTCTCCGATGTCTTCTTTGCCTCCAAGGCTAAGTGTCTCCCTCCTCACAGGCCCTGGGACTGCGCCATTGACCTGCTGGAAGGCCAACACCCCCCGAAGAGTCGCATTTACTCCCTCTCCATAGCGGAGGCTGAGGCCATGGAGAACTATGTGGCGGAGACCCTGAAACAGGGGTTCATCAGACGCTCTACCTCTCTTGCCTCCGCCAGCATCTTCTTTGTGGCTAAAAAAGATGCAGGACTAATGCCGTGCATTGACTACCGGGGACTGAACGCAGTCACCACCAAGTACCGGTACCCCCTCCCTCTGGTTCCGTCAGCCATTGAGCAGCTGTGAGGGGCCTCACTCATGGCTTAACTAGGGCACAAGTGGAAACTTTGATCATAGCTCAGTGAGGAAT